TTTGAAAAAATTTTTTTTCTTCTCTCTGCCATTCCTGCCAATTCCCTCTTTCCTTAGTGCTTCCTCTGACTTGTCTTTGTCCTGTCTGTAATATAAAATGTAAGGAGAAATGGCACCTTTGGGCTGCAGCTTTGCCCCTTGTGTGCATTCTCACCTGCCAGCAGTAGTGACTGCAAACGTTTCCTGTTTTTTGCCATGAGAGGCTCATGGAGTGAAAACAGCTCAAAAAAAGCATAAGGCAGAGTGTTTCTTTCTGTGCATTGTTAGTGTCTGGTACATACTGGTTTCTGGGCCACCTGACTACCTGCACAAAACTGATGTGAGGCAGATTACAGAGAGGAGAAGTAGTGGGCGCAGGAGTAACCTGGGGAGGATTTGACCTGCTAATGAGGCTATGATCTAGGTCCTAGTTTCTAGGTCCTAGCTCATAAGCCTGGCAATTGGCAAGTACGTATTTTTACTTGCAAACTGAGATGTGACATGGTACATCCAACATGAGGTACATGGTGATAACCATAAAAATGGCATCTATTGTCAGGTCAGAACATACTTCTGTCCTTGTGCTTCTTTTCCTCTTTGCCATTTGCCATTTCTCTGTCCTATGAGTCAAAACTTGACTGCAGCACGCTAAAACACTCAGACTGCTTATTATAATTTCAACCAGTAATATTCTGTGGTGTGCCCTTTGGCTAATTCCCTCCTCTTACTCCCCTGACCTCTTTAAAAAAGCCATGCTTCTTAGCTATATGATGCCAGATTTGCAAGACTAATCTTCTCGAAACATTTCACACTATGTTGCCTTGCATATTTTATGTCAATGTTCTGATTAAGTCATCAGGTCGTGATAGATGAGTGTTCTCATCAGTGACTCTTCAAATCCAAAACAGCAGGAGAGAGTAGCCTTGGACATAGGAAAAGTGAAGAAATACCTGACACATCTTAGCCCTGGTGAAGGAGCAGAAGCTAGTTACAAGAAGCTGCTCAAGGCTAAGTACTGTTCCTATAAGAAGGAAGAAGCAGTGGACTGAGACACAGCATTTGCTTTCTTTCCAGACTCATGTCAGCTGTGTTTTAGTCTGTGCTGTCTTTCCACAACCATTACTGCCCTTCTGTCCTTAAGTGTCTGTCTGCTACAGCAGCAAGTAATGAAAGACTTTCTTTGCATTGTGAAACT